ACCCGCTGCGCCACCAGGGAGGGCCCTGTATTGTCATATTTTAAGATAGTCTATCAGTACTTTTTTTGTCCATCTGTGTCAACCTGTGTCATTTAAATAAAAAGGAATAACACCTGAAGTTTTAGGAGTTTTTTCATAAAGTCTTTTCCAATAGTCTGCTTAAATGGTTGGTATTTTTACACCTGAGACTCAATTATGGGGAAGGCCACACTCCTTATAAATGTCATGGTCAAAGGGTACACATTTTGATGATGAGAAGTCTTGGCAGGACATGCCAATCACTCACAATGCATAACCAAGGGTGTTCAAATGGCTCAGAGGACCCCCGCCTATGACAAAAGAGAAAGGGCAGAGATAGTTACCTTTAGATAGGGAATGCTCTCAGCAATCTTGTTCTGTGCCTTCAGGATAAAGCCATAATGCACTTTAGCAAAGCCATCATTAGGTGTCACATTTAGAACCTAAACCCAAAGAGAACAAAAGCTATTGTGATTGATTACATAATCTACAAATGAATGTCAAAACAGGTTTTAATTAGCTTTGCTGAACTTGGATTGAATGATGAGTTATATCACTATAGTGATATAACTATAGTGTTTTATCTCACTGCAGTATACTAGGCTTAAGTGACCCCATTTACCCTAGATTCAAAATATTTTTACAGCTCACTCTAATTCTTCAAGAATAAAGCAGTGAATGAAAAGGCAATGACTGGTAAAACACTGTTTTAACAATGCAATCAAAAGCATCCAATAAATTAATAGAACTTCAATACATTTTTAGTAATCAGAGAAAAGATGCTTTAATTATGCTATACTTTATGTCAACTCTGAATGTTATTATACATTTATATATACATATATCTTTTATAAATTATCTAAGAGGAAATTTAGATCTGCATTTGAAATATATCACAATCCATTCATTCGACACAATTTCTTGAGTAATCAGAGTGCTTTAAGGATTAAAAATAAAATGGCAAGTAAATCCAATATTCTGTGATTAAACCAGGTAAATAGTTTAAAAATCTATCAACTCACTGTTTATTATTACATGCATTTATTATGGCTACAGGTAAAGTGCAAATTTCCTATAATTAAATATTAGCAGTGAGAAATCCAAACAACATTCAACTTGTGAAACTGCTTAGGGAAACTAATTTACAAAATAAAAGAGAACAATGAAGGTTGGAGTTGAGTACAGGCAGAGGAAAGGCAAACATGCTGTCGCTTATCTCCATGCCTGAATCTGAGAAGGAAAGGGGGTTCACAGCCACCATGGGCTCCGATACGGAAGGGGCGGCTGTACCAGGAGAAGAGACCCCTTATCAGTCCATAGAACATCTAGATGGTACTTTAGCATTTTCCAGCTTGTGTCCACTCCTGCACTCACCCATTAGCAAAGGCAGCCAGCACTACCTTCAAAAGAGATTCAGAATCACTCTCCCATCACTTCTTTCTCACTTGCCACCTGCCCCAGTCTTATCACCTCTCCCCTACCTTCTTACACGAACCCCTAATTGCATACCTTCTACACCTCACTCTCTATATGGGGATCTGAATGGACTCACTAAATCAAAGAGAAGAGGTAGAGGTGATAGCTCATCTCTTCTCTGCTCAAAACCCAACAGGATTTCAGATTGCTCAGAATAAAAGATGAGGTTCTTCACTCTTCCACTGCTGGTGGGAATGCAAACCATTCCAATCACTACAGAAAGCTGTGTAGAGGTTCTACAAAACACTATAAATGGATCTACCTGTGACCCAGTGATTCCACTCCTAGGAATCTACCCAAAGGACAAAACAAACAAACAAACAAACAAACAAAAAACACTCATCTGAAAGGAAACCTGCATCCCTATGTTTACTGCGACACTATTTACAATAGCCAAGATATGGAGCCAACCTAAATGCCCCAAAACAGATGACTGGATCAAGATGATGCAGCATATATACACAACGGAATATTGCTCAGCGATCAAAAAAGATAAACTCACGCCATTTGTGACTGCATGGATGGAGCAGAACTGGATTATGCTAAGTGAGGTAAGTCAGAAGGAAAAAGATAAGTATCAGATGGTTTCATTTATATGCAGAATATAGAGAAACCAAACAAAGGGTCAGGAAAAAGACAAAATTTGCAAGCTGGCCACAGATCTGAGGTACACAGTAGGGGAGCGAGAGGGGACAGGACAGTGGTCATGGATCATGGTGGGAGAATGATGAGGACTACGCCTGAAGGGAGAAATCAAAAAAAAAAAAAAAAGGGGAACATAAAAAAAAGAATTAAACCAAACCAATAACAAACCCTAGAAATCTGTTGAATTGAGGCTGCAAATGGCGGGGAGGGCGGAGAGCAGAGTGAGGAGTGAGCATGGTGGACTGTGGTTATGGACCTGGGATGTCCTTGGGGTGGGTGTGGTGTGGTAGCAGCGCAAGTGGGTGATACCATATTTAAATTGTATGCAATGTTGTAAACCAGCATTACCTCATTAAAAAAAAAAAAAAAAGGTCATGCTAAAAAATTAAAGACCAGGTTCTAGGAATTAGCCTCAAGATCTCCCAGGAGCTGGGCCTCTCTACTTCTCTACTTTCTCTCCAAATTGTCTCCACCATCCTGGAGTCACTGCTGCTGCACAGCAAACCAAAGGCACCCACTTACGATCGCAGCGTGTACAGCACTCCTATAAGTCAAACACTTTGCTCCCAGACACCCAAATGGCTAGCCTCTTAACTCCATGAAGTCCTGGTCACCACCTTAGTGCTGCTGTCCTGAACATCTGTTAAAGAACAGATACCCTCTGTCTCTAGTCACTCTCTACCGTCTTTATCCCGATTCCTCCTTTTTCCTCATAGCAGTCATCACCTTTTGCCATGCTATATTTTGGGGTATCCTCACCCTGATGTAAGCTCCACAGGGGGCTTTGTCTGTTGCACTGATCCTCCGAGTTTAGAACAGTGCCTGGCACATGACAGGTTTTTCAGAAATCTGCTTCAGCACATGTCAGAATTTTCTTCCTAACTAGATCTCTGACAGCATAGATGCTGATTCCTCTGTACCCTCCTCAGCACCTGTTACAGATGAAGAAGCTGAGCAGGAAGGAGCTCAATAATACCTCTGGAGCTGAAATGAAGATTTCCAGGTTTCTGTCAGCCTAACTATGAAGGGTTTGTTATAATTATTGTACCTACACAGACAACATTTTCTGTCTTCTTCAAACACACACTCATCAAAGTAATTAGCAAACGTATTCATTTACAAAGCTCGTCTAGGCTCTAGACATCCAAACATAAATGAAATAAACTCTTTCTCAGGAAATGCTCAACCAAAAGAGAGAGACAGACTCATAAGTGGGTATTATTAATACAACATGGTGAGTGTAACAAAAGTAACAAATAAGAGGCATACAAGTAGCATAGAGAACTCCCTAGCCCATGGGTGGGTATGGCAGGGGGAAGACCTGAAAGGTGTTTAGGGTTGAATAGGAGTTCATCAATGAAAGTAAAGATGAGGGTGAATCAGGGAGGAGGCATTCAAAGCATAGGAAGAAAGGGATAATGGGTCAGAAACAGTCAAAGGAGATAGGAAATAGAGAATAAGAGATGAGGGAACGAGGCAAATTAAAATAGTTCCTGATTAAGGACCTCCCTGGTGGCACAAGGGGTTAAAGTGCAACAACTATGAAGCTATTTGCAGCCACTGCAGCACGAGTTCAATCCCCAGCCAGGGAGGTGACCCACATGGCACAGAAGACCTCTCCTGACATGCCTCTGCTCCTCTCATCAGTGCTTTTCAGTACATTTGCCTGTTGTGCTCCCCACTCTGTCTCTTCTCTCACCAGAGGGTGGACAATCACAATCACACACCCACTTTGTACACACACTACTTTTGGGGGAGAAGTGCTGAGCACCAGGAAGAACCAAAGGAGATGCCTCCCCTGCTCGATTCCTTCCCATCTCCTACTGTGCTCACCACATTTCCAGGGTGACACACTATGGTGCTGCAGACAGTATCTACTGGTTGTGAGCACCACACCCTCAGACAATAAGTGGCTTTATAAGGTTTCTGAAAACCCAGATTGAGATTAATACTAAAGCTGTTACAAGGTGTTTTGCACCTTGTGCACACACACAAACACCCCTCTAAATAACTAGGGCAGCTGACATTTCTCTCTCAGCACAAATTCCTTATATGATCCATGACCAGATTAAAAATTCATATAATCATTTACATTGTATATTGTATATTAACATTACTAAAATATTAATTTTTCAATAAAAATAAAAAATACATTTTTGGTCATTTAAATGTATTTAATACATTTTGTTGTTGTTGCTGTTGTTTTATTACTTTGTGTTCATTTTAAGCCCCAGAAAGCCTATTATTTTAATTTGGAACTTTTCTTCTTAGCATTGATACTTTCTATTATTTTCTAATTCTTTTTATCAATTCAAGTGTTTATAGTATTTTTAGAAATTTATTCTTTTATATGTATTTTTCTTAAAGTATTGGCAGCGTATATTCTTTCTAATTTATTTTGTTTACGTTCTCTTAAATTTATTATTATTTTCTAAATATTATTTTTGTATAATTCTTTCATGATTACTGGCTATTTGAAATTTTATAATTTTTTTGTAATATAAAGTTTATTTATACATCATTTTGTGCACCTTTCCATCTCAGTTGTAACCCCTGCGGGTTTCCCATCAGAGGATTCACCAGAGACAGAGTGGGGAGCAGAACAGGCAGATTGACAGAGTACACTGCTGAGGGGAGCAGTGGGTGGGTCAGGAGAGGTCTGTGTGCCATGTGGGTCAGCTCCCTGGCCGGGGATTGAACTCATGCTGCACTGGCTGTGGATAGCTTCATAGTGTTGTGCTTTAACCTGTTGCATCACCAGGGAGGGCCCTTTACTTAACTCATTTCACCTTAAAACTTAATATAGGTTAATGTACATGCGGTATTAATACATCTACCTACATATATATGAATATATAAACAAGCATATCACAAGCCCTTTGCCTGCGCATTCTTTCCTGAGTGGGTGGGCGATCAAACAGGATGAGAGACCACAGCTGAGGGCAATGGGAAGCAAAAAAGAACTGAAGCTGAGGGGGTGTCAGTCAGATTTGTGATCTGTGCTGATGAGGAGGAGAACAAGCCTGTGTGGGATTCCTGGTTTAGGCAAGAAATAATGAGGACCTAGGTTAAACTGGAAGGACTTTTGAGAGAAATTCAGAAGGCAAATTAACAGAAATTAAGGGTTTGGCAACAGACTGTAAGCTCCCCAAGAAGACACTCTGTGTCTTAACTACCATTTCTCAAGCCACTGCGTGAGGGTTTTCAGAAATAAATGTTGACTAAGTGGAGGGAAGTTGTCAGGAGTGAGGGGAGAAAAGAATAAGGACAATGTTGGACCTCAGGCCATCGTGGGTGGCTGGGTAATGGGGGTGCTGGTAGTGTGGAGGGAAACAGAGGCACACCTCCACCTCCCAAAGCGACAGAAGTAAACAGTCAACATCGGAACATTTAACAGTCAAAGCTGGAAAGCCATTAAAGGAAATAGCAATGGTTTTTATGAGTTCAAATAAAAATCAACGTGAAGAAACATAAAATAACACTAGCAGTTTTCCAAAAGTGATTTTGACGGAGGTACAAACATAGGTGGATAAACTCTGGCTAAGGAAAGAGAATCCACTAACTAAAGCTTATCATGTTAGAGGAGAGAGGACGGGATACATCCTTTCAGTCTGCTGATGCTTCTTTAAGAAGAAATCCACTCAGTTGCATAATAACACTACCATTTAGATGGTCCGCGTCCTGTTAGGCGTATTCAGACGAGATCATGATTTCAAATGTATCTATATATACGAAAGCAGGTAAATTTATTTTCCAAAGTGAAGTAAAAGCTTTCATGTAGCTGAGATATAGTATCAAGTAAAAAGAACACATATATTTAAAGAAGGCTTTGAAAGGGCAGTGAGAACAAATTCACAGTGGTGGAGAAAAACCAGAAGATGTTCAGATGCTTCCCTAACTCAAATGTGCTTGGCACCCATCATAAACTGACCACGGAATCATGTGTTTGGGAATGAAGAAAAGGAACGAGGAAGCAATGAGGGAGGGAGGGAGGAATCGCACAAGTCCATCCTGTAAGGGGATTCTGTTGCACATGTATGTCTTACAACTACCCGGTCCTGAATCAGACGGATTCTGGTTGGATGCTTCCCTAACAAGGCAGGGAACTCAGTTCTTGCTGTGGCTCTTAGTAAAAACAACACCCCTGTCGACTCATTTTACGACCTGGATTTGGCACGTTAGTGGATGGCACACATCTCAACACTGTAGGGCCCATCCATGATGCGTAGGTATTAAAGACACTATAAAAACGAATGACCTTATTTCTGCTATTTCAGAAAATATGAAGATTACAATACGGCAGAAAAGACAACTGCTTGAAAATTAAGTCAATTCATCAATAAAAATAAATCGAAGAAAGCACCATTTGTGATGGACTCAGCTGAATGTGGAATCACTTCATTTGACAGTATTTCAAAAACAGAAGGAATTATACTGGCTTCCCCTGAGAAGCAGGGTTTTTATATAAAGTACACCAATTGGAAAACCATTGACCTAAAGGCCCGAATGTAAGAATAACAAGTAAATGTGCCCATATTTCTTTTCCAGAGGCATTTTCTTCTTCCACCTTCCAAGTTCACTTGGTATCCTGTTTATCCAGTACCAAATGAATTACCCCATTGCTCTAAGGAGTAGCAGTTTTCCAGATTTTATAGCTATTTGTTACTTAAAAAAGTACCTATTAAAACATCCAAAATGAGGCAGAAATCCTTTTACAGGATAACTTGCCAGAGAATTGAAGCTTAGATGCCTGTAAAGGAGGGAGTTTACACCACCTGCCTGAAGGCTTCTGTTCCACAGTCTCTCTAAACTCAACTTCTAGTTTTGTTTAAAGATCTATTTATTTACTCATAAAGAACTGGGGTACAGGCCAGACGTGCAGGGGGGTGGTGAGAGCATTCACCAGAGTCAGAGAGGGGAGCAGCGGGAAGTTTAGGAGAGGTCTGCCACAACCTGTGGATCACTTCCCTGGCTGGGGATCAAACTTGTGCTGCAGTGGCTGCAGATAACTTCAGAGTGCTGTGCTTTAACCCATGGCACCACCAGGGAGGGCCCCCCAAGAACATTTTCTAAAAGCCCATTTGTGCACTGACAAACAGAAAGTTTTAAATATCTCACAACTAAAAGCGTTAACTAAAATTTAAGTCTTCTGATCCAGAAAATAAAAAGGAATGTGCAAACAAAGCTTAGAATATGTTTAACTGTAGTCACATTTAAATTCTATTTAACTTAATTTAGAAACTTGAGGCTGAGGGGTGAAGGCAATTTATAAATAACATTAGAACTCTGTGTTCAAAATAACTTAAAAAGGCTAATGGAGGAGTGGTATTTGCTTACCTCTTCATAAACCTTCTTGGCGCTCTCATTGTCTCCCAGCAAGAGGTACCCCACGCCCAGGTCATTCTTTAAGGATGTGTCCTCGGGAAATAGCTGAACCAGTCTCTGTAGGGTAAGCAGGGAGCCTCTCATATGACCTGGTGTGGTGAGAACAACAACAAAAACCAACAGAAATGGAAACAGACCATGTACATTTCTGCATTGAGACTATAAATCACAAGACATTATTCAACAGAGCATGCAAACAGAGCATGCTAAACTCAGCCTCCACCTATTGATGACTACAACCTGTCATAGGATTTCATCACGCAGTTGCAACAATATCAACAATTCCTATATGTAGTTATTGAACATAATAGTAATTATAAATATTTTAATGACACTCTAGTTTTCTAAATTCATCAATATTTATCTTCGTATGTTAAATTCCCACAAGAATGTTTTCCTTGTCAATTCCTTGGGGGGAAAATGTTTCGCGGAGAAATTTCTGGTTTACTCTGTTCAACTTTAAAATTATGATTAGAGAACAAATAAAAAGTCTAATGGATTTCAGGGTTTAGCATCCTGTGTGAACCCTGAAGATAGGTAGTGAGGTCCCCTGATGACATTATTTCCAGTTAAGGGTTGACCGGCTCTGCCATGACTGGCGCAGTGAGAAATCACCCAGTATTATGGCGCCCTCTGGCGGACGACCGCATACTCTGCACAACATGAGTCAGGAGTACCCCAGCTTCTAACTGTGAGACTGAAGTCTTCAAATTTCTGGGGGCATACAGACTGTCATTACTCCTCCCCACCACTGGAAAGAGAAACTATATATGTGGAAATGTACACAACAAGGCTAATATGCCTGGAAAAATGAATAAATTCCCTAAAGAATTTAGGTGCCCACAAACTCGTAAAGCAAAAAGTGTGATGAAGCATCAAAAATATAAGTCTTATGCTCCACAACAGATTATTTGACATAAACCATCACCCACTAATCCGTGGCCTGCTCCCCGGGACTAGCTAATCTGAGGTCTGCTTAGTTTTTCATTCCCTCACTAACACATATGGCTTCTTTTTCTACACTCTTCTCCCATCGGCTCACACTAGGATCACACTTGTCTGTTTCTAGTCTTCCCCTGTTGGCTACAACCAACGTCCTGCTGCTGTAACCTTTTGCCTTTCTCTGCTGCCCCAGGCCCCTGCCCTATTCTGTGAGGGAACTTGGCCCTCTCCTATAGACTGCAAGTACTTCCCTCCTCACAAAGCTACTTTTAGAGAGTTGGCCTCAGGAATCAGATGAATGATGTTGTAGGGATTCTTATGAAAAATCCATGACAAGCAAAACATGACAATTTTTAAATACAGAATCAGTAAATAACCAAGGCTAAGCAGAACCATATTGAAGGCCAAGGCATGAAGAAGTCAATGATTCTAATTTTGCATCCCAGGTGAGTATTGAGGGCCTTCAACAGAACCCCTGACCTGCCTTTTCAGTCCTGTTTATGCATGCTGGGTTTTTCGTTCTCTGAACTGGCTGGCCCTCAGGAACATAAGTCCACTACGGTGAAAAAACTAACTTTAATTCCTTGTTCAGAAAAATTGAAAAGGGCTTACTGGCTGTGAATATTATACTTGTAAGAATCTCTCCTAGTGACACTGTCATGGTAATCCCAGGGAAAGGAGATTCCCCACCCTGAGGAAGGGTGGAGCTGGGCAGAGAAGTGAAGCTAGAAAAAAATGGAGAGAAGGACTGAGTGAAAAAAGACCTGGCTGAGGAGAAAATCAAGGGGACCTGGAGGAGGCACATGGAGCAGAGACTTCTGAAGAAGCTGTGCTCGCTGAGCCTTGGGCTTATACCAGGGACTTGGGACTTGGAAAGACACTTGAAAGACACAGAGATGTGGTGAGAGACCTATGCGAAGGCTGACGATGGCAGCCTTCATCTTGACTTACACTTCGATTTTACCCTTTTCCTGACAGACTGGTCTGCCCCCTTCTGCCCCTTTCCTTTAGTCCCCACAGGAGATACCTTAGACTGGAGTGGGCTTTCAGGCCTCAGTGCCCCTGCTTTAAGCCATTCCTGTTTGGCTGGGCAGTTACCTATGAGGGGATGGGTAACTTTGGCTGCTTGATTTGGTAACTTTATTCTTTCTCTTTTTCTTCTCTTTACTGCACACTAATTGCATTAAAGTTCCCTTCCATTGAAGAGCTAAGTATGTTTTTCTTGATGTGGCAGATGACAGAACCCATTCAGAGCAGGGAAGTTTGTGAGACCAAGAGAACCTCTCACCTTGGCTAGTAATAATATCAGTAATTTGCCTATTTAACTTTTCTAGCCAAGCACCAACCACGGCAGTTACTCATGGCCTAGATGCTTCCCTCATATTTTACTGATCATATATGGATGGGGGTGGGGGGGGGTGGATGGTGCAGAATCACAAATCTGGCTATCACGAAGTTAGGTTATGATTTGCCTTACTGCTTTTTGGACTGAGAACCAGAGTCAGTCACAGAGGATGCTTTATGCTGCTCTTTTCAAAGCTTTTGTAAATTTATTTAGTGATTAAAAATTCCCTTTCTGGGCCCTCCCTGGTGGTACAGCAGGCTAAAGAACAGTACTAAGAAGTCAAAGCCACTTCAGCATGAGTTCAATCCCCACCCTGGAGGTGACCAAATTGCATGGCAGACCCCTCCTGACACACCCGCTGCTCCCCTCAGCAGTGTACTTTGTTGATCTGCCTGTTCTGCTCCCCCTCTGTCCCTGGTGAAGCCTCTCAACGCACCTGCACCTCTACTCTATACCTCAGTTCTGTATGCATAAATAAACCTTTAAAAAAAAATTCTCTTTCTATCATTTTCCTTAGTACAGAATCACAGCTTACAGATAAAATGTTTAATGCTTGCGACTCCCAACATTTCTCAATAGAAGTTGTCCCACAGATTCCACCTCCATGAATCAGGTTGCTATAGTTAAGAGAGAAAAGAATTGCCAGGGAGAATTTTTGGTTCCAGACCTATTCATTTAATTAGCTAAGATACTTTAAGCAAACTCTCCAATCTCTTAACAACAGTTTATCTCACCTTTAAAATGGAGGAAGGAGTGGAAAGGAGATAAAATTACCACCTGCATCTTTGCAATTGTTAAGGTTAGGATTGCTATTTAAGTCTAAGACTCAATCAGGCAAGTGACCTGAAATGAATCCTAAAACTTGGATAAGGGCCTGGTGATTGAGGGGTTAAATCTCAGCGCTATCAAGCTACCTCCAGCCACTGTGGCAAGAGTTCCATCAGGGAACTCATGGCACAGCAGCCCTCTCTGGCCTTGCCCGCTGCTCAAATCAGCAGTGTATTTCAGTCCACATGTTTGTTTTGCTTCCCACTCTGTCTCTAATGAGTCCTCCCATGCCCCCTGTACCACTGGCCTGTACCTCAGTTCTTATCTGAATAAATAAATAAAAATAATAGCTTTAAAAAAAACAAACCTGGATTCACTTTCTGGTACCTAAGTTCTCCCAAGTATACACAAAACCCTTAGGCTCCTTTTATATAAAGGCATCACATCTGCTTTTGTATGTATCTTATTCCGTCCTACCTAGAAATTGCTGCCTTTCTGACCTTCGCTTCAAACTGAGTTTCATCAGGTCGGCGGGGACATCCGGCAGGCCGGCCACCTCCTGGTAGGTCTCAATGGCCTTGCGCAGAATGTCGTTGCTCCTCCTCTTCTCAGCCAAGTCATCTTCACACTAGAGGAAGTTCCCACACTGGATAAATACCCCGTGACCGGCTCCACTTGTAATCTCCCAAACTATTTATGAAAAATTAACTTTTGTATGTGGTTTAAAATGGTCAAGACATATTAAAAAAAATCACTTTAGCACAAAAAAACAAAAATCAAAGAAAAGAAACAGATCATGCTATTTTCATAATATGAAGGTATGTTAGCTATTAAAGTGATAAAGAATATCATAAAAGCAAGACTCATCTAATATATGACGGGACTGGTAGAGATTCATATTAGGTTATATGTTAACATTACATAAGCAAGACTCTACTCCATAATTCTAGATCTTTCACTAGTTTTATTCCTGGGTTCATTCCTCCGTTCTATGCATTGGCAGACAAATCAAGCATGGCAAAGTCCCTTTTGCATTTGTTTCATTCTAAAAAGGAATGACAATGTGCACACGATCGTTCATGTACGTGATGGTTATCAGTACTGTGGATAAATCAAAGCAGGCTTGGCAGGGCAGGGCGAGGGGGCAGGAAGGAGGCCAGCTAAATCAGGATGATCAGGGAGAGCCTGAAAGAGGTGACATCAGGTGATGAGGGGCCTGGTAAGCCACTGCCCATTCTAGCGTACACTGTGCGAGCTGGGAAGAGATGTGATGTACACTGGAAGCCATATGCAGAGCAGACTGCGGGGAGGGAAGAAGCAGAGAGCCCTGTGAATGCTCCGGTGGGAATCCACAGAAGAGGTGAGCGAGGTCTGGATGAGGGCAGTAGTGATTAGGTGGTGAAAACTAGTTGGATTATAGATACATTTTTTTTTTAAAGATTTATTTATTTGTATATACAGAACTGGGGTACAGGCCAGAGTCTCAGGGGTGGTGAGAGGCTTCACCAGAGACAGAGTAGGGAGCAGAACAGGCAGATTGATGAAGTACATTGCTGAGGGGAGCAGTGGGCGGGTCAGGAGAGGTCTGCCACGCCATGTGGTCACCTCCGGGGCAGGCAGGAATCGAACTCATGCGGAAGTGGCTTTAGCTTCTCATTGCTGTGCTTTAACCCGCTGCGCCACCAGGGAGGGCCCGGATTATAGATACATTTTGAAAGTGAGTGCTAAATGATTTGCTGAGGATCTGAGTGCAGCATCTGAGAGAAAGGGAGAGAGTAGTCAGGGAAGAATTCAAAGTTTCTGACTAAAACAAACATCAGGCAGAACTGCCACTCCTTGCAGAATCAGGCTCGTGAGGGTATGAAGTCAGGAGTGCTATTTGGGACATCATAAATCCCGATGCTATTTCCAAGCAGGGATACTGGACAAGAAGGTGCACTCAGGTATCTGAAGTTCAGGAGAAAAGTCAGCATTAGAGACACATAATGGAAAATCATCAAGGATAGAGAAGTGATTGAAAAATGAGAAGCCAGAAACAGTTGGGAGTGCAGATAGAAAAAAGAAGAGGTCCAGGAAAGAACGGGAAAGAGCTGAAAGTTTTGAGGTTATCAATGGTCAGAAAGACAAGGCAGGATGAACAAACTGAATGGAGTAGACTACAGAAGAGGGGAAAACAACAAGGAAGTAGTATTTTGGAGGCCAGCTGGCAAAAGGGACGGAGAGAGAGCTGAGTGGTGCTAGAGGGCCGACAGGTGGGCTGTCAGAGCTGAGGCCAAATGCTGGATGGGCTGCACGGTCCTTGGCTGGCATGGCAAGACCTGTCCGAGGTGGGGCTGAGGACCCGGAAGCAAAGGAAGTGGTTGCAAGAGGAAACAGGAAGAAAGGAGATGGAGACCACTATTTCAATGAGTTTCACTGTGAATGGGAGCCGAGAAATGGACCAGGAAGGGCAGGGGAATGTAGACAAGAGTTGAATATTAGAGCACGTGACAGTTGAGAGGGGAAGTCTGATGATGCAGAGGGGGTCACAGAAATCAGGAAGGATGTCCTCCAGCAGGCCCGAGGGGGCAGGAACGGGCACAGGAGAGTTCATCTGTGCTAGCAGGAAGGAGGGCAGACCAGAGGGGGCAGATGCAGGACCTGCAAGCAAGGGCAGATGGAAGTTCTCTTTGGATCTTTCTATTTTTTTAGTGAGTTGAACAATATTCTTAGCTAGAGATTGAGAATGAAGAGTGAAATACCACGGGTAAGTGAGGGTAGAATATGTAAAATGGTCACCAAGGTCTCATCAGATTTAGTAGAGTGAAATGTGAAAATTATCCTTGGAGGAAAAATGATACTAGCTAGATGCTGTAAGTAGCACACACAATGTTTTACCAGAATATCCTTGTGAAACCTGTTCACCTTGTTAAACTGTTTGCTAAAATTAATATATATAAGTGCCTGCAACATAAAGCAAACTCCACCTATGAAGAGGTGGTAAGAAAATGATGATCCCTTTCTTCACTACCCCAATATGAAAATCTTAGAATCAGTACAAACTGATAAATTATCTATGAGAAGCTTTTCAGAAAATAACACATGTAAAAAATAACTTGTTAATGGGTACAGATTTGGGAAAGTTTCCCAAAGTAATGAGTGTTAGAACTGAAGCAGGGTTGACAGAGGAATGGATGGATTTACGAGAGAAAGAAGTTGATAGGACAAAACATCTAGATAAGAGCAATTCCCCCTTGCTGTATTGAAAAAAGTTTCAGGACATACCACTGCCTCTTCAATTTTGTAAATGTCCTTTAGAATAGGACATCTACCAGGAGAGAAAATCCAGTGTTAGGACCCCATTATCGTGCCTATACAGTCCTCCATGTAGTTATAGCCTGGCTTTTCTGTGTAGGTATCAATTTCTGACGAGTTTGGCTATGGAGTGTTAACTCCCCGAAACATGGTCTTCATAGATGACTTCACAGAATGGAAGTTCCAAAACTGAGGGTCTCTTTGAGACCAAGAGTTCGGCTTGCTAATTTAGTAGCCTCTTCAAGCTTCCACATTCATCCTGAAGGAGTCTCTTCAGGCTCTCCCTGGTGGCACAATGGGTTAAAGCACAGCACCTTGACGCTACCCTCAGCCCTGCAGTACGAGTTCTATCTCCAACCAGAGGTGATCCACATGGCACAGACAATCTCTCCTGTCTTGCCCGCTGCTCCCCTCAGCAGTGTATTTCAGTACATCTGCCTGTTCTGCTCCCCACTCTGTCGCTAGTGAATCCTGTTACCCTCCATACCTCAGACTTGTATCCCAGTTCTTGTGTGCACAAATATTTTTTTTTTTAAAGATTTATTTATTTGTGCATACAGAACCAGGGTATAGGCCAGAGGCTCAGGGGCGGTGAGAGGCTTCACCAGAGACAGAGCGGGAACAGAACAGGTAGATGGATGAAGTACACTGCTGAGGGGAGCAGTGGGCGGGTCAGGAGAGGTCTGCCACACCATGTGGTCACCTCCGGGGCAGGCGGGAATCGAACTCATGCAGAAGCGGCTTTAGATTCTCAATGCTGTGCTTTAACCCGCTGCGCCACCAGGGAGGGCCGCACAAATATTTTTTTTTAAAGAGTCTCTTCAATGTCAATAAAGGACAAATGCCTTCCAACATAATCCTCCTCTATACAGATAAAAATAAATACCTTTAACTAAAATCAAAAGATGTATGATCTATGTGCCTTTTCCACGCTCCTCTGTCAACTTTGAGAATTGAGAAAATATCAGTATTAAAATAGCACATAAATCTTTAAAGATCTTCTGAATGAAACTGAACAAGATTGCCTTGAAAATAAAAAGTGTCCAGATTGATTTTTATTGGTTTAGCACATGTAGGAAAAGTGTGCTGAGCTAAAACCGAACATTGGTTATATTATGTCAGCATCACAAAGTCTTTCCATGACTCGACCTAATTTACCCCCAACCTTCCTAGGAGATGTGATATTTTTTGCCTCAAAGACATTAATGGCTTGTATAAGGTAATAAAGTGCATGAATTTGTAATTCTAGAGTTTGTACCAGATGTTCAGGGAACTCAGTTACAATTGATTTTTGCAATGATCCAACAAATAAGTATTAATGTTACTTTAGAAAAAACAGATACTGGGCCCTCCCTGCTGGTGCAATCGGTTAAAGCAGAACACCATGAAGCTGTTAGCAGCCACTGCAGCATGAGTTTGATCCCCAGCCAGGGAACGACTCACATGGCGCAGCAGACCTCTCCTGTCTCACCCACTGTTCCCCTCAATGGTATTTCAGGGATCTGCCTGTTCTGCTCCCCACTCTCTCTCTGGTGAATCCTCTCACCCCCTGCACCTCTGGCCTATATCCCAGCTCTTGTATGCATAAACAAATAAATCTTAAAAAAATGAAAAGAACTAACAGTTACTATAGTTTGCATTTAACTTAATATTGCTGAATTTTGCAATTTCTTGGGCTATTCCAAAGTAATTGTTTCATCTGTGAACAGAATTAAAAAGTCACCATTACTCCTTGTATAAAAATCCATCTTCTGTTCAGCTTTTATTTTTAAAACGATGAATTTAAAATTTCTTTTAAATTGCTCTATTAAAATTTAATTTATCATGCCTAAATTTTGGTTTTGCCACATTAACATTAATAGCAATACCACCTTATGGCATAACAGTTTAGAGATAAGATAAAATAATGCCTGAGCCATAAATCTCAGATCCCTACTATTAAGTAAGAGTCTAAACACAGCAATCACCATGTGCAAAAAGAGTCTATTTCTTTCAACTTTGGTACCCTCAATTAGTATCACACATAAAGTTCTAAAGCACAAAACACGTTTGCCATAACCAATTGAGCATTTGAATCAATCATTATTCTCTTTATTTAATATGCTTTTCTTAATTAAGTGACTGTCAACAGTAGCGGCAAGCATCTCACTTCCTGGAACAGGCTTGCTCTTTTGGTAACACACACAGTCTCTCTCACTTCAGGGCAAAGATGATAAAGATATTGTCTGCTAATCCTGATTTGCGCCATGCCTAAGAGGAATTTATTAGCATTAATTTTTCACAATTTAATTCATTAAAACTTAATAAAAATTTAATGATCATGTTTTAATGGGGGAGATGAGAAGAATGTGAGCATTTGTGTCTCAAGTGGTTGCCACTTGGAGCTCAGAGCCAAACACACTTGCTTTATTTATAGATGTGTTAGTTCTGATGAGTATCGTACCCCAGTGATGGTGCTGACCCCCTCAAAGGGGTACTGTCAGCTGCTTCTTGCTCTGAAAACCCTTTGGAGCTGTGCATCTATTGTTTCCCAATAGGGTTGACAATCTCATGCCCACACCCCCTCCCTAGCAGGGCTACAACAGCTATACTGTCTGACACCCTTGTAGATCAGCCCTGGCTTGTGCTCTGAGGCCCAGACTCTATAAGTCCAATGATCCACTGGACAATGTCCACTTGAACATCTAATAGGCATCATCTGACATTTGGATCTAATTAGCAGAGTCAAAAGGGAACTCTTGAATGTGCTCTCCCCAAACCAGTTCCTCTATTATTAGTCTTCCCAGTCACTAACTAGCGACTAGCACTAGCCTCTCTTCAGCTGGCAAAACCAAAAGCCCAGGTTACTCCTTTCTTTGAGCTTTACATCTAATCCATCATTCAGGTCTTCAGTTCTACCTTGTGCCCACTTCTCTGTCCCCATGGCCCTGACCATCATCTGAGCCACCCTATCTGGAGTAACTCTTGCAATTCCTCTTGCTTCTCCTTTTGCTTTCACAATCCTGGCAACCAAAGCATTTGTTACCACAAAAAAAAAAAAAAAAAAAAAAAAAAAAACAAACAGATGGTGTCACACCCATGCAAAAAGCCTGCCATGGCTTCCCAGCACACAGACTCAATCTGTGAGGACAACCACCGGCCCGCCCATGCCCTCCCTCTGCACACTCTTCTCTCCATGCTGGAGCTTATTATGCCAAGGTTATTTCCATGCATCATGGCCTTTGCCCCTGCTGTTACCTCTGCTTGGACAGCTCCTTCCACAACCTTGCCACCTCCCTCAAGAGACCTTTCTGGTCACCTTGTCTAAAATGCTATCTGCCCTGTCACTTTCAAACACAACACCTGAAGTAAAAAAATCGGAAATAGGTCTATTTCTTATTCCGTCACCTTCTTTTCTTTATGGGAATGTATTATGTAAGATGATTTCACATAGTTATTTTTAACACTTTATAATATTCTTTAAATATGTATTTATGTATAAAGATTTTGCATGCTTCGCTCAGATGTCACCTCCTGGGTGAGACCTTTCCCTGTGATCCGACATTTCAGCTCCCTCACGTGGCTCAAATCTGTTTCTTCTTTGCTCTCCTTGGAACATCTCATTAGCAAGCATTTAGATCTTCCTCCTCTGTCTCCTACTATACTTCACCATTACAGTGAAAGCACTGTATTTTTTTGTTAGCCCTTACATCTTTTACTGAAATTATTTATAGATCACTGAAAGTTTGCACAAGAAGTTGTGACTCAACAGATTCATTTCACAGATGAGGAAAATGACTAAATAACTAAATTGTCAAAGCCAGCAGAGTCTCAGTATACTGCAGACTCTAACTCTTAAGACAAGCCCTCTCCACCTTCTCTTGAAAGCACTTCATGTTTTGTCCATGATACACATATGAGGTCTAGAACAGGGTCTGACATCTACAGCCATGTCCCACACAAGGCACGCTGGTCAACCATGTGCCATAGGTCAACCATATGAAAGTGGTCCCCCTATTCCTGCTTATCAGTGCAGCATACATTGCCCGTGTGCTCAGGAACAAAGAGAAGTCACGAATGGCCCAGGTGTTCTATCAATCTGCTCTCTGATTTGTTATACCAGCAAAATGGAGAATTTTGTTTGAAGAGTACATACATCTCTATGATGTCTGCTCAATGAAAAACATAACCCATCACTAAACACCGGCTAGTAAGCTTTCACTAAATAATTTTGGAATAACTCTTAAAATCATTTCCACGGGGATATAACACTCACAAAGACAGAGACCTGGAGAGTGTTTAACTATAAGGACCCCAGGGGCCTCCCTGGTGGGTTGTATCAGCACTATCATCGTTACTGCCTGAGTTCAATCCCTGGCTAAGGAATTAACCCACATGCAGCAGACCTCTCCCCTCTCCTGTCTCACCAGCTGCTCCTCTCAGCAGTATATTTCAGTGGATCTGTCTTTTCTGCTTTCCACTCTGTCTCTGGTGAATCCTCTCACCCCAGCATCTCTGACCTGCACCCCAATTCTTCTACATAACAAATAATAATTAAAAAAAAAGATCCTAATATGTGGCACACAAAGGTTTACAATTATAGAGAAATGTGGAAAAGCTTCAGGAAATGAAGAGTTGGAGTAGAGAAAGCCAGAGAGAAAGGAGGTGGCTACATGGGGAAAGGGAAAAGGTAGCTAAGAAGTAAGCCAGCTGAAAGAATTCACAGGGAAACAAAGTACATTCAGCTTTATATTTCAAGAAGTCTTTCCTCTTAATTATTGCAACCTCTAATTATAAAACTGAGATTCTGAAAGCTCTGAGAAGCTGACAATGTAGGGGATTAAATAAAAGGAGATGTGAGTGTGTTGGGAAATTAGTGACCAAAGTGTTAATTTATCTCGGGCTCTCCCTGGTGGCACAACAGGTTAAAGCACTATGAAGCTATCTGAAGCCACTGCAGCATGAGTTTGATCTCCAGCCAGGGAGGTGACCCACATGGGACAGCAGACCTCTCCTGACCCTCCCGCTGCTCCCCTCAGCAATTTGTTTTACTCAGTCTGCCTGTTCTGCTCCCCACTCTGTCTCTGGTGAATCCTCTCACGCCCCACACCTCTGGCCTGTACCCTAGTTCTCGTATAAATAATAAGTTATTGGAAATAATAAATAAAAAATTATTGGGAACAATTTTTTAAAAATCAAGTGTTAATCTCCACTCTCTTTTCAAAATAAGAGAAAAACCATAATGGGGAGGGAGCAGGAAAACAATGCTAAACCAGTGTATAATAGCAATAACTGTCAAATTAAAAACAGTATTTTTATGCATATGCTTGAGAAACTGATCTCACATTGATGTTAGAAGGGGGAAAAAAGAAAATACATAGTAGGTGGTGAAAATTCAATCACAAAGAATAAGGACATCAAAAAAGGGTTTTAAGGAGAAGGATTTTAGAATACCTGAGCCTTCCCGTATCTCGCCCGAGGACTCTGCGGGTATTTGCGTACTAGTTCTTCAAATGCATTCACTGCTTCCTCAATTTTTCCCTGTCAGGAAGAGGAAATTGTGTAAACACCAGAAATTCAAATATTTGGTTTGCATTGATTATTATGGCAAGTGTATTTAAAATTCACTAAATAATTTTGTCAAAATTTCTTGGACTGCACTCTAAAAATCTTATATAAAAATTTAAACTCAAAAATGACAGCACACATGGGCCCTCCCTGGTGGTGCATGGGTTAAAGCACAACACTAGGAAGCTAAAGCCAGTTCAGCATGAGTTTGATCTCTACCCTAGAGGTGATCCAAATGGCATGGCAGACCTCTCCTGGCCCCCAGTTCTGTATGCAAAAATAAATAAATCTTTAAGAAAAAAATGACAGTACCTGACAAATGATGTAATGTAGTTCTTTGCTAAAGAAACTGCATTTGCCATCTCTGTGCACTCCTAAAGGCATTGTTTAGGCTTTAATTTGGGGGGGAAATACTACCAGCAGCTAGCCGGCCTTGGAGTCTGCAGTGAGGTCTGAGGCACTTGTTAAAATAGTAGGAAATTTTTATATATGTATCCTCACTTATTTCCTATTCTGTTTCTTTTAATTACTGAGAAATGAGTTTTGATGTCCTCAAATGTAATTTTTGATCTCTTCCTCCTTTCAGTTCTATCACCGTTTTGTTTTAGTACTTTAAACATGATGTATCCAGGCTTATGTGCATGGGTAGATATACACAGACATACATATACATATACATGTGTGTGTGTATGCATGTGTATATATATAGTTTTTACATTATTCTTCATTTTATACATTTTTTCATCTCAGTTGTCACCCCTGTGATGAAACTACTATCAATCTACTTGACCTAATAGAACATTTCACCCAACAACAGAAGATAACACATTACTTTATATTTTGTCAAAACGTAAAGAATTTCACATTCTGGCTCATAAAGTAAACCCAAATCTATTATTTAGAAATGATAATTATGTAATGTGATAAAGATCACCAATATGATGGTAAACATATTGCTGTATAGAAATGCTTCAAATAAACACAACATATACCTTAGGTTTACACAATTATGTGTGTCAACTATATCTCAATAAAAGTAAAATTTAAAAAGTAAATTAAAAAAAAACAGCAGGGAACAAAACCAGCATGACGAGGGCCATTTGGTCTGGCACCTGCCTGTCACTGAGCATCATCTCATCTGGCTAATTAGGGGCCTCCCTGCTTCTGCGTCCTGTGACGCTCCCCAAACTCACATGGACCCTCCTACAGATGGTCCACACACCTCTGTCTCTGACTACTACCAGGTGCAAAGAAAAGAAATTTCCATAGCAAGTGCGCTTGGTGAGAGTACTGACCTGGGGGGAAGGACCCCTCCTGACCTCTCTCCATCCATTGACACAGCACACTGGAAACAAACACCACGAGTTCTTAACAAATTGGTATATTCATGCATTCCACAAGTACGTGCAAACTCTTTGTGGTGTATGTGCTCTGACCTTCACTGAGTGAGACTTCATCTGTGAAGTTTATGTCACATGTGTGGCTGTGCCGAGCAATCTGTGGGTTCCGACACTGCTATTATTTACAACTACTTCTAAAGGCTTGACTAAACATCCAGGAGTCAGGCTCAGGTTCTTTAAATCATATCCTTACACAAGGGATGCTGAGGGGCTAGAGGTGGATACACACACAGTGGTGACCAGTGGAGGCTACCCGGTTAATCCAGGCTCCCCCACTAAGAAGGGGTGTGACTTACAGCTTTGCCTTTGGTGCCTTGTCTATAAAATAGGAACAATGATGGTACTGACCACCTTGTGAAGTTGCTGTGAAGATTAAGATCTTATACATAAAATGTTTATAGATGCTTCAGGGAGTATGGTACATTTTATTATCATTGTGGAGCATGTCGGGGATGGAGTAGGATTTGTGGGCACAAGATAATGGTGCCTGTTCCAAGTAAGTCTCTTTCCTGGTAGGCAGTTTAATAAAAAGAGACTAAGGACTGGGAAGTAGAGATAAATCAAGTCAGGAACACATTCTCTAAGTTACATTTATAGTCAGAAATAATATAGTTTGCATTAATTGCATCTCCAATTAATATGCGCTGTTGCTCTCATAATATTACTTAAAAGAGTATATTGAGGTCAAGTTTAAGTTCACAGAGAAATTAAGAAGAAAGTAGAGATATCTTCTAGACCCCACACATACACAGCTTTCTTATTATCACAGCTCTCCAAATGTGATACATTTGTTACAACTGATAACACATTGACGCTCAAAATATCATTCAAAGTCCATAGGTTATCTTATCATATAATCTTGGTGTTGTAAATTCTATGGGTTTGGATAAATATGTAATGATATGCATCTATCATTAAAATACTGTATACAGTATATTCACTGCCCTAAAAATCATCAGGGCTTTGTCTGTTCATTCCTTCCTGTCTCCTATCTCCCTTGGCAACCACTAATTTATTTACTATCTCCATTGTTTTGCCTTTTCAGACTGTCATGTAGTCAAAAACATATAGATAACCTTTTCTTCTTGACTTTTTTAGTTAAGAAATGTTATTGAAATTCCCCCATGTTTATTCATGATTGAAGGGGACATTTCTTTTCAGGGCTGAATAATATCCCGTTATCTGGGTATTACCCACTCTTCTACTGAAGAAGACGTTGGTTTTTTCAAGTGTAAGCAATTAACGGTAATGTTGCTATAAACAACATACAGGTGTTTGTGTGGGTATGTATTTCCAACTCCTCTGGTTAAATACTAAGGGTGGGACTTCTTAAGTATATAAGAATATATTCTGCTTTGTACACAACCAACTCTCTTTTAAGAAGCTGTAGCAACTTGCATTCCTACTAGTGAGGAGTAAGGGTCCCTCACTAGGATTTAGTATTGTCAGTTGTCCAAATGTTGGCCATTTAATGTGAAAAATTTGATGGGAATCTCATTCTAATTTGTACTTCCTCAGTGATGTATGAAATGGATCATTTTTTCCTATGCTTTTGTGCCATGAGTGTCTCTTGCTTGGTCAGAGATGGTTGTTAAGGTATTTGGTTCACTTTATAAATTTGAGATGTTGATTTATTGTTGAGATTTAAGGTTCTTTGCATATATTAGATACATTAATCTTCTATAACCACTATTTTATTTCATTTGTGAATGATTTTAGGAGATGAAGGGTTCATGCTCAATATCTTGATCTATATGCTTTTCTCAATATTGGTTTCCTACAGCTACTGATTGTCACCAAAACAACAGAAATCTCTCCTATCCTCCAGCACTGAAGTCCAGTGTCTGTTTCACTGGGCTGAAATGAGGGTATTGGAAGGGCCATGTTCTTTCAAGAGGCCCCGGGGAAGAGGCTGTCTCTTGTCCCCAAAAGCCTTCTTGACTTGGAAACACATCACTCTAGTCTCCACTATCACCCATCTGCATGCACTTTTTTTCTACTCGGCATCAAATTTCTCTTTACCTTGCTCACTGGAAACATGTTACATTTAGAGATAAACTGGATAATGTAGGATCATCTTCTTGTCGCAAGATCCTTAATTTACTAACGCCTGCAAAGATCTTTTTCCCCAAATATGTATTAGCTTTCAGCAACTAGGATTAGAACGTAGATGTCTTTCTCAGGCTGCTGTATGCTACTACATGCCTCATGCAATTTAAATTGCAAAGGTTGAGGCTATCTTTGTGAAAATCATGCTAAACATAATATCAGTAGATTTAATATCAGTAGATTTAAAACACAGGAATAACAATATTCATAACATACTTTTGAATAACAATATTCATAATACATTTTACTCTGCTTGATGCTCCCTTAGTCTCATGCAAGTCTTAGTAAAAATAATGGAGTATTGTGCACCACCCCTGATTATCTTCCGGGCTTCCTTGAAGACGCAGTCTGTGTGACTTCCCAAGATGTCATCAGCTGCTCTCACCTCAGCAGCCTGACAAAGTAAATGTGTTAGTTTTTAGCCTGAATTTCTTTTCTCCGGGTACTTACTAGACTAGACAGTTCAACACCTAGTACTCTTGTGTTATTCTGTTTAAAAACTCAATTGCGGGCCCTCCCTGGTGGCGCAGCGGGTTAAAGCACTGCATTGAGAAGCTGAAGCCGCTTCCGCATGAGTTCGATTCCCGCCTGCCCCGGAGGAGACCACATGGTGTGGCAGACCTCTCCTGACCCACCCGCTGCTCCCCTCAGCAGTGTACTTCGTCGATCTGCCTGTTCTGCTCCCCACTCTGTCTCTGGTGAGTCCTCTCACCCTCCGCATCTCTGGCCTGTACCCCAGTTCTGTGTGGATAGATAAATAAATCTTTAAAAAAAAAAAAAAAAAACTCAATTGCAGGAGAGCATATCAGTGAAGAACTGCCTGAAAAGTATCTGTTCTTTGATATAGTTTTTATTTTTCCTGGAACCAAGACACTTGATTGGGAGGCAGAGGGGCATGCACCCTGTAGGAAGCTGGTGGGCAGCAAGCGTTACACAAAGCCCCACCCCTGCTCATGTGTGTGGTGGGTCCCCAGGTGCCATGTCAGAGTGGAGGCGCTGACGGATGATAATGTCCCTTTGTGAAGAAATAAGCAGAGCTCTCTCACCAGACTAGGTGCAGAGCAGCTGTTCAGATGAGCACTATTCGTCTCATTGTGCATTGCTACACCCTTTGTTTTGCCCACAGTTCACTCCAATCCTTGCACAGGTCAGAACCCGTGGTGTGCATTTCCGTGTGATGACTTTATTCTAGTTTTATTAAGTTTTCCTTCTCTCTCTTGAGAGAAGGGAATCATGGTCAATGATTCCAACAAAAGAATACATTTCATTATGTCACTTCAAACCTCTTTTCCAGTCCCTATCAAAAGTAGTGTGGTTTATGAGAAGACTAAAAATGGACTTCCACAGGACCCAGAAATTCTGCTCCTAAGTACTAAGGAACATAAAAATACTAATTGGCAGAGAATGCTGCACCCCTGTTCATCACAGCACTATTTAAAATAGCCAAGATATGGAAACAACTTCAGGGCGAAAAAACAGATGTGTGGATCAAGAGGTGGTACATGAATAAGGAGCTGTCCAATCCATTGGTATTTTTTTTTTTTTTAAAGATTTATTTATTTATTCGTACAGAACTGGGGTACAGGCCAGAGATGCGGAGGGTGAGAGGCTTCACCAGAGA